CCCCAAAACCCCAAAACCCCAAAACCCCAAAACCCCAATTACAATGTGGCATATAAGAAAACAGAATCGTCAGCAATAATAATATTAATTTGATGAAAAGAATTCTACTAGTATTAGCGATAGTTACATATTTTATCAATAAAGCATTGGCTGAGGTGACAGCTTCTCAATGTCCCACATGGCAGTGCCAGAGAGGACTAGGAGAAGATCAAACAGGAACAAATAGAACATGTGCGAGAAACTCTGGGACCTCTAATTTTGCTGAAGAGTGTGATCTTGATAATCATTTCTGCCTGCTCGAAGAGCCTACCTTACAAGACTCCCAAAACTGTGAGCAAGTAGAAGTACTTTCTTGGAAGAGAGACTTGCCTGCTGGGGACGACTGTGGAGGACTCTCTACTTGTTATGGTGCAGCCACCTGCACTACTATACAGAATAAGACAAGATGCGCTGGCTTGCAAAAAGGAGATGAATGCACGGATGATAGGGAGTGAAACCCCGGACTCTACTGTAAAAAGGGAGGAGTATTTGCATCTGACAAATGAGACGAAGTTGCTAAGCAAGACCAAGAATGAGACAATGATTTCAGATGTGAATTTGGAACACAATGTGTAAATTCGACATGCACAAGATTTGGTAATTTAACTGTTGGCACAAGGTTTGAAATCCTTGATAACAAACTTCTTGGGACAATCACTAAAGATACTCTCTATAACACGACTATTGGAAGAGTATGTGAGACTTTCTTTGCCTTCAACACAGGGGTGAAGTCAGACAATGGTAACTTTTTGTTCGAATGTACTGAAGGTCTAAAAAGAAATTTTGAAATCTATGCCAGGACTGATGATAATTTAGATTGCTCTTTTAATCATACCTTTTCTAATGGGACCTCAACAGAGTATAAGTATAATGCTGTCTGAGGATTCAACATCGACGAATATTTCTACTGTCCCTCAAGAAGAGGAGCTGATGAATATGGAGAACACAACAGGAGAGCTAGAGATATCTGGGCTAGTAGCCAAAATTTAACTTGTCATCACAGATCAAGTATCCAATATTGCCCTGCAATTCAGGACAACTTTTTATGGAACAAGGCTTTTGCAGATATAAGAAGAACAGAGTTCATCACAGAAGGAGACAACTGGCCTCTTGTAGCCAACAGCGATAGATGTGTAGGCAGGACCATTAAAAAAACAATGAACTATTGGAGGATCGTGGAGTCTTCTTACTCCAATTTCATTGGTTTGGTTGCCTTATCTGCATTTATTACATCATTTATGTTTTAGTTTTGATTTTGATAATACTATTCATTTTTATTCAACAAATCTCCAAAGAGGGGTTTTGGGGTTTTGGGGTTTTGGGGTTTTGGGG